AGATTATTCCTATATATTCCTATGTAAAACTTTGATCGCCCATTGTGGCCCCACCCGACCCCCGGGGGTCATGAATTGAACAAACTTGAATCTACACTACCTGAGGATGCTTCCATGTAAATATGACCAATCATGGCTTTGCTGTTCTTGAGAAGAACATTTTTAAAGATTTTTCCTATATATTCCTATGTAAAACTTTGATCGCCCATTGTGGCCCCACCCGACCCCCGGGGGTCATGATTTGAACAAACTTGAATCTACACTATCTGAGGAGGCTACCATATAAATATGATTAATCATGGCTTTGCTGTTCTTGAGAAGAAGATTTTTAAAGATTTTTCCTATATATTCCAATGTAAAACTTTGATCGCCCATTGTGGCCCCACCCGACCCCCGGGGGTCATGATTTGAACAAACTTGAATCTACACTACCTGAGGATGCTTCCATGTAAATATGACCAATCATGGCTTTGCTGTTCTTGAGAAGAAGATTTTTAAAGATTTTTCCTATGTATTCCTATGTAAAACTTTGATCGCCCATTGTGGCCCCACCCGACCCCCGGGGGTCATGAATTGAACAAATTTGAATCTACACTATCCGAGGACGCTACCACATAAATATGACCAATCATGGCTTTGCTGTTCTTGAGAAGAACATTTTTAAAGATTATTCCTATATATTCCTATGTAAAACTTTGATCGCCCATTGTGGCCCCACCCGACCCCCGGGGGTCATGAATTGAACAAACTTGAATCTACACTACCTGAGGATGCTTCCATGTAAATATGACCAATCATGGCTTTGCTGTTCTTGAGAAGAAGATTTTTAAAGATTTTTCCTATATATTCCTATGTAAAACTTTGATTGCCCATTGTGGCCCCACCCGACCCCCGGGGGTCATGATTTGAACAAACTTGAATCTACACTACCTGAGGAAGCTTCCACATAAGTTTCATATTTTCAAGCACAGTGGTTCTTGAGAAGAAGATTTTTTAATGATGCCATTAATTTTTCACAAATTCTTAATTATCTCCCCTTGGAAGAAGGCGTGGCCCTTCATTTGAACAAACTTGAATCCCCTTTACCCAAGGATACTTTGTGCTAAGTTTGGTTGAAATTGGCCCAGTGGTTCTTGAGAAGAAGATGAAAATGTGAAAAGTTTACAACAACAACGACAACGACAACAACAACGACAGACAACGGACAAATTTTGATCAGAAAAGCTCACTTGAGCCTTTGGCTCAGGTGAGCTAAAAATCTTTGGAATAAAACACTTCATGTACTTTCAACAAGAGGCCCAAGGGCCTTAACGGTCACCTGAGTACAATACAACAATTTAGAGGATCCATAAACTGAAAAATGAAGCCTTGTTGCCCAAAAGCAAGAAAAATAGTATGATTAGCATCAACAAAATAATTGGTCTAGTATCTATCTGCCTATCTGACTTTCCAAGTCATTAAATCTATGAAAGTACATTTTCATTATACAATAAATTATCTTGCATAATTCTCTTATTCTATTAAGCTTTCAAATACATTATTTACATTGATTAATTATCAAAGGTGAATGGCAAAGGGGAATAACTTTGCTCAGCAGAATACAAGTTAATAGAGCCCTGGCCAGAACTAGAACACTTGACTAAATGGTCCAGGTGTTCAAAAATCTGGTAAAAATACCTTTGCATATTAAAACTTTTACTCTGTTTGCCTTGAACATCCCCAGAAGCATAGAAGATTTTCAAAGAAATGCATTTTCACCATAAAATTAAATAAATAAAGCCCCATCCTTACCCAGAACATCTGACCCATTGGCCACGAACTCACAATTCTGGAAGAAGCACCCTTTCTCATTATAACTATACACTTGTTTCTTTACTTTATAACCAGTAGTAGAAAAAATATTTTGAAAGAAATTATGCATTTTCACTATATATAATCAATAGAGCTCTTTCCCCCTCACCAGAACCCCTGACCCAAAGGCCATGAGGCATTCTTCCTTATCATAACCATGCACTTCCTTTGTTTGAAAAATACCCAGGCGCACACAAGATTTTGAAAGAATTCATGCCAATTCCCTATCTAATCAATAAAGCCCTGCCCTAACACCAGAACCCTTATCCAGAGGCCATTAAATTCATAATTTCTGAGGCAGCCATGCTCATCATAACTATGTACTTAGTTTATTTAATATCCAGGAGCAGAGAAGATTTTCAAAGAATTAATGCAATTTTACTATATAATCAATGGAGCCCTGCCCTAACACCAGAACCCCTGACCCAAGGGCCATGAAACAATTTCTGAAAAGGCAGTCATGCTCACCATAACTATGTTCTTAGTTAGTTTATTTAATACCCAGGAGCAGAGAAAAAGATTTTCAAAGAATTAATGCAATTCTACTATATAATCAATAGAGCCCTGCCCTAACACCAGAACCCCTGACCCAAGGGCCATGAAATTCAAAATTTTGGAAGAGGCACTCTTGCTCATCATAACTATGTACTAAGTTACTTTATTTAATGCCCAGGAGCAGAGAAGATTTTCAAAGAATTAATGCATTTTAACTATATAATCAATCGAGCCCCACCCTAACACCAGAACCTCTGACCCTGGGGCCATGAAATTCATAATTTTGAAAGAGGCACTCTTGTTCTTCATAACTATGTACTTAATACCCAGGAGCAGAGAAAATTATTGCAATTCTACTATATAATCAATAGAGCCCTGCCCTAACACCAGAACCCCTGATCCTGGGGCCATGAAATTCAAAATTTTGAAAGAGGCACTCTAGCTCATCATAACTATATACTAAGTTAGTTTATCTAATACCCAGGAGCAGAGAAGAAGATTTTCAAAGAATTAATGCCTTTTCACTATATAATCAATAGAGCCCCACCCTAACACCAGAATCCCTGACCCTGGGGCCATGAAATTCATAATTTCAGAAGAGGCACTCTTGCTCATCATAAATATGTACTAACTTAGTTCATTTAATATCCAGGAGCAGATAAGTAGATTTTCAAAGAATTAATGCATCTTCACTATATAATCAATAGAGCCCCGCCCTAACACCAGAACCCCTGACCCTGGGGCCATGAAATTCACAATTTTGGAAGAGGCACTCTTGCTCATCATAACTAAGTACTAAATTAGTTCATTTAATAACCAGGAGCAGATAAGAAGATTTTCAAAGAATTAATGCATTTTAACAATATAATCAATAGAGACCCGCCCTAACACCAGAACCCCTGACCCTGGGGCCATGAAATTCACAATTTTGGAAGAGGCACTCTTTCTCATCATAACTATGTACTAAATTAGTTCATTTAATACCCAGGAGCAGATAAGAAGATTTTCAAAGAATTAATGCATTTTAACTAATGTATATAATCAATAAAGCCCTGCCCTAACACCAGAACCCCTGACCCTGGGGCCATGAAATTCACAATTTTGGAAGAGGCACTCTTGCTCATCATAAATATGTACTAAGTTACTTTATTTAATACCCAGGAGCAGAGAAGAAGATTTTCAAAGAATTAATACATTTTCACTATATACTCAATAGAGCCCTGCCCTAACACCAGAACCCCTGACCCAGGGGCCATGAAATTCACAATTTTGAAAGAGGCACTCTTGCTCATCATAACTATATACTTAGTTAATTTATTTAATACCCAGGAGCAGAGAAGATTTTCAAAGAATTAATGCATTTTCTCTATATAATCAATAGAGCCCCGCCCTAACACCAGAATCCCTGATGCTGGGGCCATGAATTTCACAATTTTGAAAGAGGCACTCTTGTTCTTCATAACTATGTACTTAGTTACTTTATTTAATACCCAGGAGCAGAGAAGAAGATTTTCAAAGAAATAATGCACTTTCCCTATATGATCTATATAGCCCCACCCTAGCACCAGAACCCCTGACCCTGGGGCCATGAATTTCACAATTTTGGTAGAGGACTCAATGCTTATTACAATGATGCCAACAGTTTGACTGCTTGATGTCCAGGAGTAAAGAAGAAGATTTTTAAAGATTGCATTATTTTTGGTGGTTTTAGCCCCACCCCTCAGGCCCCAGGGGGGCAGGGACCATGGAATTCACAATTTTTGTTCCCCTTCACCCATAGGTGCTATATGCCAAATTTGGTTGAAATTGGTTAAGCGGTTTCAGAGAAGAAGCTAAAAATGTTCAAATGTTAACACACGACGCACACCGCACGACGCACGCCAACGGACGAGAACGGATAGCAATAGGTCACCTGAGTGACTCAGGTGACCTAAAAATAGGTCGAATAAATAGGTCGAAATGAGATAAGAATTATCACTTCATATTCTGGTGAAATACAGGTATTTATGGTTCATTGCAGGCAAAATACAAGTGGTTATCAAAACACAGTTCACACCTTTGGTAAAAATTGACCCTGGGGAGCTGTGTTTGTGAGTTATTAACATACAGGTAATTGTTGACACCTGTCTAAGATAACGCCCTAGGCATGGTTCACAAATGTTGAAACAAATGACTGAGAGATTGTCTCCCCCCCCCTTTTTTTATAGATATATGTTCAATTTACAAAATTTTTAATTAAATTTGAACAGCTGTTGAAGTCGTTTATTTCCTTTTAGAAACTAAAACATCATTTTAATAATCCTATTCGAAGAAAATTCAATATTCATGATATTACGTTTTAAATAACATATATACTTGTTTTGCATACTTTTAGGATTAAAATAAATAAATAAATAAATAAAATACCGAAAGCTAAGACTGCGGATACTATTACCGTGGAATTAAAACCAGTAGAACACCGCTTTGATTTGAACAATCGGAATACCTCGCCCTTTTCCCTCGCACGCAAGAAAAAAAATCTTTTTTCTAGCGTGCGACGGAAAAGGGCGAGGTGATCCGATTGTGATTTGAAGCGACTAAAATCCTCAGGCATGCGCAGAGGCCAGTGATTTGAGTCGCTCTTTTCCCTACCATATCAGTATATATATTCTATTAAGAGCGACAGAAATCACGGTTACACCGGGGACCAGTTTACTGAAGTTTCATTTTCTGGGATGAAATTACCAGTTACCGTAGAATTCAGGTACATAATATCACACATACATACATACATACATATATATATATATATATATATATATATATATATATATATATATATATATATATATATATATACATGTGATATGTATAAATACATATCATTGCAGTGGCCGCTTGGCGGATCCAGAAAGGGACTACGGGGGTTGCATCATCTTTGATATTGATTTACAGTGTAGGTGTGATAAAGTTGTGTGAATATAAAGCAATTTTTAGTTTGTAGAAACTGTAAACAGTAGCCAAATTTTGTTAATGTTCATACATTCATACATAGCTTTTGCTGTACTGTGAGAGTTAATGTTACAACTTGGCATATATAAATGGTGCCTGTTTTGGAGGGTAACAGTTGAAATTGACACCCTGAGGAAAACCATTGTCAACCAACTGTTACCCTCCAAAACAGGCACCATTTATTTTATTATACTGAATGTCTAATTGGTTTAGGATTTGTCGATCATTGTTAAGTTCACATTTAGAAGGATTTCAAACTCCTTGCTTCTGTTTTTCTCAATAAGAAAGCTTCGAAAAAGATTTACCGACCACTTTATTGTTTGTTTGATATTCAAAGAGTTCTTAATCAAAAGTTTCATTATTTCTGCACTCGCAAGCATTTTTTGTCTGTTCGTTGTTTTCATTTAAGCCAAATAGGACGTAAGTTTGATTGACGTCAAGTTTATTCTGCTTCTTTCAAATGCACAACTGACATTTTGAGAATTCTATGGTGAACCTTACGCACATGATTTACACGCATGTGACATTTTGTTCTATTATACCTCTACTCTTATTACTCTGTATAAAATTAATACCATGAAACTGTCTTTTTCCCTGAGAAGATACTATTTCCCCCATCTGAGGACTACTCCCTGAAAAATCAAAGCTACTCCCTGGGACTACTCCCTCATGAATATTTATTATTAATTTTAACCAATTAAAATGAACAGTGGGCGGAGCGTTCAAAGAATCTCGAGTCCATGACGTTATGTTATTATTTAGCAATGTAACTATGACATCAAACATTTCGACATGCGATGTCAAAATCATACTGGAATTTCTGAGCAAAAAGAGGACAATGATAATCCTTCGAAATGTCAGTGAAATTATTATTTTTTTAAGTAATTTTATTTTTTCCGTACTGATGCATTATATATTAAACAAAATTGGAATCACATGCATTTTTGATTACTTATATAAATGCCTTTATAGTTTTAAAAATGTCTAAGTCTCTAATCTCCTTTGTTGTTTCGGTATAATAAAACAGTTATAGAATGGGTACTCGGGAAATATCAAATTTATAGTTCCCCTTGGCAGGAAACTTGTACTATATCCCAATAGATGATTTTCGCCGCCTCAGGAAATAGTTTCCTCCCTCGGGGAACCATAAATTTGATATTTCCCTCATACCCATTTCATAACTGTATACTATTACCCGTTGTCAAGTATGTTGCTAACGCTGAGGGTAACATAATGGATTGTTAAATGTGTCTAAACCAATCAGATTTTAGTATTTAACATGAAAGTATAATAAAATATAAGATGTTGGAATGCTAGCTTGCACTTCATAAACATGTGCGATACAATTGGGTAATCATTTTGTCACTGAACGCTGTAAGTGTAATGATTTGGGCCGTGGATATTGGCCTGGTTAGCTCAGTCGGTAGAGCACCTGACAAGTGATGCAGGGGTCCCGTGTTTGATTCCCGGTCCAGCCATACATTTTCTCCTTTCCTGTTACAAAAGGATTTTTTGAAAAAAAAATTGCTATTGCAAAGTGCATTTTAATATTTTAATTTGTTCATGAAATATCTCTTACTTGGAAAACTTGTGTCAAAGAAGATGGGCGAACAAGGTGAGCGAAATGCCTATAGTCAGGCTGAAAAAAATAATAGTCTTGTATCCTAGCTGCTACTAGCCTGAAAAAAAAATAGGGTAAGTAGGTAGGAATATTGTTTTTATTTTTTTATTTTATTTTTTTCCAACTGTATTTTTTGGATATGAACTAATACAAAACCAAATTAGACATGTCATAGGTCAATATTATCTTTTGAAATTAAATTTCAGTTCTTTTGATGCACAACTCAAGTGGTATTTTATGAAAGTCCATATTTAAATCATAGAATTTCATGAAATACATGTACCACTTGAATATATATTTTTTAAAAAGGTTTGGAACATGAAATTCCTGAATTTCCCGTTTTTTTTTTTTCCAAAACTAAAAAAACTTTAGGGTTGGGTGCAAAAAAATAGGGTCGGTCGGATAGCAGGAAACAAGACTATTATTTTTTTTGGCATCATGATAGTGCAACAAATATAAAGGTGAAAAATTATATCTCAATAATAAAAAAAAAATTCTTCAATATTTCGTCTAATATTAAAGTATACTTTATGTAAAATCTTCACAATTTGCAAAAATCTCACAAAGATTAGAATTATTTATCTATGAAATAGTATACACACACTAAAGAGGGCAGAAATGATCATTTTCTCATAACACAATCTTTCAATACTAGTGGGTCTTCGCTTGGGCCATTTTTTGAAAGTTTATCCTCAAAGTTTGTGTAAAAATATACATATTTTGGTAAACAAAAACATGGAGCTAAGGCCAAAATAAAAAATACCTTTGTTTCCCCTAACGCGTCGCACCCAATAATTGCGCCAACTGAAAATTTTTTTTAATAAGATTATTCAAATATTTTTTTAATTGTTCATCAACTTTATAAAATGCAATTTCATCAAAATCCGTTTTTATCAGAATTTAAAGGCGGCTTTTGTTCTACCCTCATTTGGCACCCACATGTGGTCACAGAGGGTTTGTTCATGTTATAAAACAACGGCGATGTATCAATCTTGTTATATATCTTTATCTTATTAGAATCCTACACTCTTGAAACATTTTGTGAATTAAATATACCATGACTATTGAGTGTTTCGATGGTATTTACAAATGTGTCTACTAAAATTAACGTACATGTACGTATTGAGCATGACAGAGCCTGTCTCATGAGCAGATGAGGGGCCAACCATGTGTATACATATTAATAAATTTCACTGCATTTCATCAGTTTAGATCTATAAAAACAGTTCATGTATGATCCTATTTTATATGGGACTATACAAGTTGTAAATATGTCTTAAAATAATTATTTCATATTGATAAATATAATTCAGACGTCGTTTCTTCATTCATTTTATTTATGGGTTAAAATTCATGAATATGACGTGAGATATATTGCATTTTAGTCATTTTTAGATATGGTTTGGTTGAACTAAATATTGTTTATACATGTACACTCTTTCCAAATTGTGTTGAAATCTTTAAATTTGGCTTATGGTACAGCCTCCTGAGACATCCAGTGCATTTTTCTTTAGTTAGGCCCTTGAAAATAGGTTTTTTTCTTTGTTTTAAAATCCCTTTCAAAATTGTTGAGCCGACAATATTTGAACATATACCTGGTGGAGGGCTCCAAATTTAGACCTTTACTCGGCACTTATGGCCATTGATCATAAAGCATCAGTAAGGGATCTTTTTTGTGCCAACATCTATACTGTGACACTGGACCTACATTTTTGCGGTCTCATTCGACTGACTAGTCTCCAAGTCCTTCACTGGGACCTGTGACTTAGAATGAGCTCCTGAATTACGTCCTGCCTCCGAAACGAAACACTCTAGAATCACTGCGCCACATGAGGCCCTTGACATTATGCCTGTGAAAGCACTTGAAGATTGAAGATTGATAGGTTTACTTGGATGTCCGATGTTTGAGTATTTAGGAATCTTGTCTTTTTTTAAATATTCTATTTCAATACATTTACACTGGCCTGAGATATTTCAGAAGTTCAAATGAATATTATTTATGAATTTATTTATCATACATGTTGCTTTTAAATGTCATTTGTATTTCATTTGATATTTGGTATAAAAATCAGTTTCTTCTGTTCTTTCTCATTTATAAAGATATTATTCAATTTTTAGAATGTATTTTCATAACTGCAGTCAGAAAAAATTTATTTACCTACATGTACCTACCTACCTAACTTGAGATTTTAGGGTTGGATTAGGGGAAATAAAGATATTTTTAATGATGGCCTAAGACCCACTATACCTTAAAAGTACACTTTCAAGACACAACATTCACATCTTTCTGAGAAATAATTGAAGTCCTTTTAGTCAAGGGTCATATCACAAACATGATTGCTGATAAATTTTTCCTCAGAAAAGTCCATCTTTAAAAAATTGGTTGGTTGCCCTCTCCCGACCGACTGGCTAAATATGGCCCGACTCAAAACTTTTTTCTAACCTCCAGTAAGCAATTATTTTTTTTATGCATTATCAAAAATATATTTTGAAAATTCAGCATTGATGTCGACATTTTCAAAGAAAAAAAAAATTTCCACCTACCTACCGACCCAATTTTTTCATCCTGGGTCGGGAGAGGGCAAGCAAACATTACTTTAAAGGTGGCCTTATCATTATTTTGTAAATTTCAATAATAAGGACATAAATACTCTATTTAACATACTGTAGTATGGAAAGGAGGAATGAGTTAATATACATTGAAAATTCATAAATATATATATAATGAAAAACATATGGCTGGACCGGGAATCGAACCCGGGACCCCTGCATTACTAGTCAGGTGCTCTAACCACTGAGCTATCCAGGCCGATGTCCTCAGTCCAGCCTAAATTCCTACAATACTACGCTTACTAATTGAATATGATTTTTATATATCTGAATATATATATATTCATATGGAAACATACTCAGGTAGTGTAGGTTCAGATATGTTCAAATCATGACCCCCAGGGCTATGGTGGTGTCACATGAGCCAACAAAATTTACATAGAAATATATAGGAAAAATCTTTAAAAATCTTCTTCTCAAGAACAGCAAAGCCATGATTGGTGATATTTATATGGAAGCATTCTGAGGTAGTGTCGATTCAAGTTTGTTCAAACCATGACCACTTGGGGTTGGGAGGGGCC